TTGCCATTCGTCCCTAAAATACGTTTTGACTGTAGAGCCGGCGAGGGCCCCCAGAGGCAGAAAACAGTACACAGCGCTCACGTCTAATTCTTCGAAAGTTATTTGATTTGGGGAGACCAAGATCCTTTCATTTCAAATTGTGCTCTCCTGGGCCTCTTCCTGGCCACTGGGAGACCAGGAACAATTAGAAACGAACACGAATATTAGAAAGGAGCACGATCAGAGACATACGACGTGCAGTAGAACATCCCTCGTGCTTTGTTCAGGACGCGAGGGGGTCTGCGTCCGGCCACACCCGACGGAGGAGCGGCGGCGACCCCGGGGGGGGGAGTGCAGAAGGGGCGGGCAGTCTCAGAAGGCTCGGAAGTCCTCGGGCCTTCTGAGAAGTTGTCTAACCCTGGGACCCTGGCGTCGCAATTTTTTCACAACGTGCGTTTTCGTTGAAATTCGGGCCACGGGACGCTCACAGATCGATCCGGCTCGAAAAATGACTCAGAAAGGTGGGGTGCGGGGCTCTGCGCGTATTTTTTTGCGATGTTGCATTTGTTTTGCAACGTCGGATCTCAGCGAAGCTTTCCCTGAAGACACCAGAACTTCTCAGCAGGCCGGAAGGCTTCCGAGAAACCCCGCCGCCTTGTGGGAAGGCCTTCCCCTTCTCACTTTTCAGGAAGAAAGTTATCGGGTCGGGAGGATGGTGTTGGGAGACATGAGGATACCCTTACCCGTAGGCGGCCGAAGCTATCGTTCATTGCATCCGGATGCTCTTGCTCATTCCCTTCATCCTCCCAACCTCCTCTCTCCCAACGCGATACTTGTTCTCCTCACATTTCCCCCTCGCCCAGGAGGTGCTGGACTGGCGTGGGTTCATGGCGCAGTTGGGCCACTTCGCCCACGCGAACCGGCGCCCCACGCCCTGCTTCCTGCAGGCGGGGGCGGCGCCGTGGCCGCCACGGCAGAGGGCTGCTGCGACCTGCCGGCACGAGAGAGCCTGCCGGAGAGGCGGGCTCAGGCCTCCAGCGTGTCTCGGGGGCCCCAGGTGGCTTGGTGCCCACCCCCTTCGGCGGGTCTGGGGGACCCGCGGTTCCCAGGCGTTCTCGTCGGCTCCCGCAGGCCCTCCTGCCTCGGGATGCGTTCCAGCGGCTGCGCCTCGCCGAGGGCGCCCTGGCAGTGCCAGGGGCGCCTTGGCAGTGCCAGGATCGTCCCGAACGGCCGCCGGAGAGCCGAGCTATGGCCCGGCAAGCCAGGGGAGCAGTGACCACACCGTGTGGGTGAGTCTGTGGGGGGTTGGGGGTGGCCGCGCGGTTTTGGGCCTCCGGTCGGTCTCCGACGACGTCTCGGGCGACGGGGTCCTCCAGGGTCCTAGGCAGAGCCGTGCGGTCACGGGCCGCGCGGTCAGGTTTCTGGGGATTTCGAGGATACCGCACGTCCTGTCACCGCACGGCTTTGGGAACCTCAAGTGTCGGAGAATGATATCGTGAGGGAGGCTGTGCCGAACTTCGCAGTGCCTGGGGGCGGGCCGCTTCCGGGCCCCCTGGGCTCTCAAGAAACGCCTCGGAGTGGACAGGCGGCCCCAGGGGATAGGGTCGGGGCATTTCCGCAGGCAATGTGTAAAAGAACATCGAGACATTACATGTCTGGGGAGGGGAAACATGTGTATATACATCTACGTGCTCATAATACACACGGGTATACATATATTTTTTGTACACATTCTATATACCCATGTATCTACATGGCTATATATATATATATATATATATATATATATATATATGTGTGTGTGTGCATATGTATATCTATCCTGTAGTCGGTTTGCTGCGCTAGCCGAATAATCATGACCGCCTGGCGCGCGGGAGGCGCGCGCGCGTATCCGATGAGCTGGCAGTGTGTATTGACGTCGTCCCCATTAATGGGAAGGGAGGCGGACTGATCGCGACTGCGTGAAGAGTGCAGGCGACGGATCGAAAAAGCAGAGGCATTGAGATTCGCCGGTCTCGTCCAGGAATTATTGTGGTCGCTTGAAGCAAGGCTTGTTGGGTCAGCTTCGCCACAGCCAGCCAGGCAGCGATGGCGGGCATGGATTGGGCACTTGCACCACTCGGGCCGAACGAAAGGGGGGGATAGGGAAAGGGGGGGGTTACGAAATCTGCTGCATGCAGCTGGTTTCGGCCCCGCCACCGGGCCCATTCCTCGATACATGGGCGCCTCCCGGCGCCGGGAGGCGCTGGGGAAATCAGCTACGCGAGCTGATTCTCTACCCTACCCTTTGCTATCCCCCCATTTCGTTTCCCCCGAACCACAGAGGCACGCATGGATGGGAACGCGTGCTAGCTTCGTGGGGTCGAGAGGGTCGCCAGAAGAACTCAGGGGCGGGGCGGACGCTGGCGAGAAGAGCGCGCACAAGCTTCCAGGCTAGAGTCCAGGGTCTGCATGGGTAGAGTTTAGTCGGGCCAGATAGTCTGGGGACGATTTTACAAGTATTGTTTGACTTTTTGGAGTATTTTTGGAGTACTTTTCATTTTTCTCCAAACATCCGCCTGTAGGGGGAAATGCCCGACCTAAGGGCAGAGAGGACGACGGGGTCGACTGGCTCGAGTGCGTCCAGCAGGGCGCGTAGGATCCTTACTGCTCGTGGGGCTGGTCGATATCGGAGGGGTCGCAGGGCTCCCAGAGCTCCAGAGTCTAGCGGCATCGTCGGACTTGGAGGGCTGAGGCGATTCTGGGGTCATAGGGATCGTAGGGTCCATGGGAGACATCGGGCGTCATGGGGCTCACGAGGCCCCGTTGGACTCGTTGGGCTTGCGCGCATAGGGTTTTTAGGTTACGTTGGGATCCTGTGTGTGTGCTTGTGTGTAATGGCTCTCCTGAGTCGTGCGGCTGGAGTGTCGCGCAGAGCGCATTGATGTCGCGGGGTACCTATGTCTCATTCGGAAGCCATGGAGGGACATCAGAGCAGGGAGAAGGAGATGGTGTAAAACACAACCGATGACAAGAGAGGACGATCTAGATATGAGAGGAGATCACCTACGAGAGGAAGAACAGTCGAGGACAACGGGTACAGGAAGTGGCGGCGGAATGGGGTGTGGGCGGCTCTTGGGTTGTTGAGGGTGGGTAGGGTGAGCGGAGGTTGGTGTGTGGATGGTGAGACGGGGAGGAGCAAGGGTAATAAGCGGGTGGTTGAGGAACGGAGGAAGATAACATAACGATGAGATAGCAGGATGGGGGAGGGCTCAGCTGGAGCTGCTCAGGGCCTCTTGGGGTTTCGTGGGGGCGTCCTGGGAACTCATCGGGGGCATCTCGGGAGGCCGTGGGAGGATCTTGAAACTATCCTGCGGTGGGAGGAGGAGGAGGAGGAGGAAGAGGAGGCGGAGGAGGAGAGGAGGAGGGGGGGGGGAGGAGGAGGAGGGGGGGGGGGGAGCAGGAGAGTCCCCCTCTTGGGTGCTTGTTGGATTCGTTCTGGGGGCCTCCTGGGCCGCCTCCCCCTGCAGTGGACCCCTCACATGAAAGCTCGGCCCGTCAGCAGGTGCGGGCCCCCCCCCCCCCCCAAGGAGAGCTTCGCATCCCCAGTGGCCCGAGAGACACACAGAAGCTCTCAGGGGCAACGATAGGGGGGGCATAGGGGGGGATGCATCGACCCCGCATCGCCCACTGATCGCCGATAGGGGCCCGATAGCCCCAACCCGCTCAGGAAGGTGCGGATTCACTAACGGGGGCCTATCGCCGATCCATCGGCGATGTATCGCCGATTCCAGGTCGATGCATCCCCCCCCCTATGCCTATCCACCCCTACCGTTGCCCCTCAAGCTCTGGGGCGCCTTGGGGGCCCATGAAGATCGACCACAGGTGTGCCCCACGATTTTTCTTGTGGCAAGATTTCGTGCCGCATGTGTCTACTGTGCGTGCGGCACGGGGCTCCACTTGCGCACGCAGAGCCACACACACACACACACACACACACACGCACGCACACGCGCACGCACACGCACACGCACACAGTTACTTCTTGCGTCGGCGGATAGGCAGGGGGACTGCCCTGGCGAACACACGCTCACTGAAACATAAACACACACACAAATACACACACACGCATGCACGCACGCACGCACACAGACACAGACACAGACACAGACACAAGACACAGACACAGACGCAGACACAGACACAAACACACAAACAAACAGACAGAGAGACACATACAGACAACAGACAGACAGAGAGACAGACAGACAGTCAGACAGACAGGTGGGCAGGCAGACTGGCAGGCAGGCAGGCAGGCGGGCAGGCAGGCAGGCAGGCAGGGAGGCAGACAGACAGACGGACAAACAGACAGACACACAGACAGACAGACAGACAGACAAACAGACAGACAGACAGGCAGATAGACAGACAGGCAGACACACGCCCACACACACACATTCACACACATTCACACACACACGGGGTTTCACCCACATGGAATTCCACGAGCACAGGGATTCATGGGTCTCCGCACGAGTTGGGCTCCACAGTTGATGCCTGCGCGTTGGCTCCGAACGTAATTATCATTGTTTCGTGTCCATTGTTCTGATTTTCTCTCTCTCTCTCTCTCTCCCTTTCTCTTTCTCTGTATTGTTCCCCTTGCATCTTCCTCCTCCACCGAATGCTCTACATCCTCCTCCTCCTCCTCCTCCTCCTCCTCCTCCTCCTCCTCCTCCTCCTCCTCCACGTCTTCCTGCCAGTCTTCCTTGGGCCTCTCGCTCTTTCTCCGCCAGTTGTTTCTCCCGCTCCTCTTCTCCTCTCTTTCCGCCGCCCTCTTCCCACCTCGCCTCCTCGTCCTTCTCCTTCGTTTCCCCACCGTCCCGCTCCTCTTCGCCGCCCCCCCCTCTTTTCCGGTATGTTGGCACCTTGGCTGTATCAGCAATGCTTAAGATTTGTAGGAGGCAGCCCAGGTCCACAACCCGGATCACCGTCTCTCAATCACAACCAACGTTCTCTCGGTCGGAGTCCTCGCTGCACCGTCAATGGGTCTCTCCACGCTGATCCCGCAGCGATTGTGCTATGGCCCCATCGGGAGTGGCGCTGGCGACGTGGTCCGGCTGTCGTTCAACGAGATCACCGTGCCCGAATTCAGGGAGGGCCGCTACGGGGTGTGCCACTACAGCGAGATGGCCCTCGGCGGCTGCGTCGGCCCGCTGGGCTTCGATCAGATGCTGTGGTTCTGCCTCGAGCTCGACGGCCGTCTCCAGGATCCCAGCAAGCTCGTCGCGGTCCAGTATGTGGCCGAGGAGCGCCAGAACGTTGCTGTCGTGACTGGCGCGTACCTCGTGCTGGTGCAGGGCTGGTCCGCCGCCGAGCTGCGCCGGGCTCTGCCCGAGGACGCCGGCTTGACGTTCCCGTGCTCGTGGGCCACGCCGCGGGGCCTCAAGACCAGCCAGGGAGCGCCCCGCATGACGGTCCAAGACTGCTGGGAGGGTGTGCAGATGGCCCGGGACTTGGGGTGGCTGAGCAAAGACAGCGTCAAGGATGGCGTCGTGGCTGCCCTCGCAGCCAGCAAGTTCTGGAAGATTACTTGCCAGTACGACGGGGCCTGGCTGGTGCCGGGCGCTATCTTCGTCATGGCGGACCCCATGACGACCATCCACGACCCCAACCCGGCTACGTGCGCCGCCTTCCGCAGGGAGTTCAGGGCTCAAACTAAGACACTCCACATTGGGACGGGAGAAGGGAGGAGGGAGGAGGGAGGAGACGACGACGGCTTTGACACATCCACCTGGAGAGAATCAAGAATGGAGAGAATGGTTCGACCCATAGCTGCAGTTTCCTCCTCCTCCTCCCCCTCCTCCTCCTCCCCCTCCTCCTCCCCCTCCTCCTCCTCCTCCTCCTTCTCCTCCTCATCCTCCTTCTCCTCCTCCTCCTCCTCTCCCTCCTCCCCCTCCTCCTCCCCCCTCCTCCTCCTCCTCCTCGTTCTCCTTCTCCTCCTCCTCCTCCTCCTCCTCCTCCACCTCCTCCTCCTCCTCCTGGTTTATCGAAGTCCCAGTCTGGGGGGCCCCGAGGAGTGCGGGGACGATCCCGAGCTGGAGGAGGCCTCCCTGGACGATCTCCGGGGGCTCACCAAGTGCACCGCCGCTCCTCCAATGGTCCTGCTGCCGCCGTCTGCCGTCTGCGGGGATGCAGAGGGGGAGGATCGGCGGCGAGCAAGGGGGGAAGCGAGAAGGAGAAGATCCTCTCAGAAGGCGGCGTGACTTCTCAGAAGCGCTCCGACCTTCTGAGAAGCGTTCTGTGTCTCCGGGGAAGGCTACAGAAACCTTCTCAGAAGGCTGGGGAACTTCTCAGCCTTCTGAGAAGGCCCTCCCCTTCTCACTTCCCCCCGGGCTCGCCGCCGAGAGGAGGAGGCCGCCCCTGATCCCCTCGTCAGCACTGCCGCCAGCGAGCGGGACCGCGACGGGGCCGACGACCTGCTGGCTGGCGCGTCGGTCCACACAGTGTGCAAGGCGTTCGGTAGCAGCTCGCGGGAGCTTTGCATGTCCTCGAAGTTCTGTCGTCAGAGTGCATTCGCGTGCGCTGGCGTGTGGTGATTGATGAGAGAGCGCCGATGCGGCGTCGGCTAGCATGGATTTAGCGTCGGCTCGCGTCGGTTAGCGTCGACTCGCAAGAGCCGTCAGCATGACATGTGAGGCCCCCGTGCGCTGCCACGGAAAAGGCGTACGGCGCTGGGGCCGGGGGCCCCAAGGGCTGCGGCCAGTGGCCGGGCGCCAAGCCGTTCGTGGACTTCCTGCTGGAGGAGGGCATCGGGACCGTGGTGCGCGTGAACATGCCGGACGAGCAGGGGCTCGCGGAAATCGGGGGGAGCTACGACGCGAGGCTGCTGGCCGAGCACAGGATCCGGCACGAGGACGTCTTCGTTAGCGACAGCAAGGCGGACAGCAAGGGGGCCGTCCCGCCCAGCGGTGTCATAAGGCGCTTCTTCCGCCTGGTCTGGGGCCTAGCGCTGATGTAGCAAAACCTTGGGGCGTCTTTGTTCTTCGTTTTCGAAAGCGGCGTGTGTTTGGCATCCGTTATGTTTCTGTTTCCGTTTGGGGATTCTCGTCTCGCCGTATGGTATGTGCGGGCTGCAGTTGTTTCCCGTTCTGGTTGGCCGAAGATGGGCTACGTGAAAACAGCAAGCAGTAGCCTCGAAGGGCCCAACTATATGCAGTTGCGAGAACCGCAGTTGTAAATAATTACCGTCTTCGGTGAAGCTCCCTGTGGGGCCACGAAACGTGTGTGGGGTGTGCCGAACTGGGTGGTGGTGGTGGTGGTGGTGGTGGTGGTGATGGCGATGGTGGTGGTGGTGGTGGTGGTGGTGGTGGTGGTGGTGGTGGTGTGTGTGTGTGTGTGTTTGTTTGTTTGTTTTTGTTGGTGTTTGTGTTTGTGTTAATGTTTGTTGTGTGTTTGTGTTTACGTTTGTGTGTGGGAGTGTGGTGTGTGTGTGTGTGTGTGTGTGTGTGTGTGTGTGTTGTGTGTGTGTGTGTGTGTGTGTGTGTGTGTGTGTGTGTGTGTGTGTGGGGGGGGGGGGGGGGGGGGGGGGGGCATGCGGGCCCTGCCACTGGGGCCTTGGTGGAGCTCCCACTGGGGCCACGAGACGTGTGAGGGGTGTGCCGACATGGGTGGCAGGAAGGCATGCGGGCCCTGCCATTGAGGCCTTGGGTGGAGCGCCCTGTGATGCCACGAAGCATGCGAGGGACATACAGAAATGTTCGGCGGGGAAGCATGTAGGCGGTGGTACTTGAGCCTTCGGTGGAGCTTTCATGGGGCCACGACGCGTGTCAGGTGTGTGTCGACATGGGTGTGGCGGGCGTATGCGGGCGGTGGCACTGGGGCTTTCGGTGGAGCTTTGGGCCCACGAAACGTATGAGGGGTGTGCCGACATGTGTGTGGCGGATGCATGCGGGCGGTGGCATTGTGGCCATCTGTGGAGGTCCCTATGGGGTCGCCAAACGTGCGAGGCGTGTGCCGACATGGGTGTGGCGGGCGCATGTTGGCGGTCAATGGGGCCTTCGGTGGAGCTCTCTATGGGGCCGCGAAACGTGTGGGTGGGTGCGGACATGGGGTGTGAAATGGGTGCGGCGGACGCAGGCAGGCGGTGGCATTGGGGCCTTCGGTGGAGCTCCCTCTGGGGCCGCGAAGCGTGCGAGGCGTGTGCCGACATGGGTGTGGCGGGCGCATGTTGGCGGTCAATGGGGCCTTCGGTGGAGCTCTCTATGGGGCCGCGAAACGTGTGGGGGGGTGCGGACATGGGGTGTGAAATGGGTGCGGCGGACGCAGGCAGGCGGTGGCATTGGGGCCTTCGGTGGAGCTCCCTCTGGGGCCGCGAAGCGTGTGAGGGGTGTGCCGACATGGGTGTGGCGGACGCAGGCGGGCGGTGGCATCGGGGCCTTCGGTGGAGCTCCAAATGGGGCCACGAAACGTGTGAGGGGTGTGCCGACATGGGTGTGGCGGATGCATGCGGGCGGTGGCATTGGAGCCTCCAGTGGGGCTCCCTATGGGGACACGACGCGTGTGAGGGGTGCGCCGAAATTACTGTGGTGGACGCTTGCAGGCGGTGGCTCTGGGGTCTTCGGTGGAGGTCCCTATTGGGCCACGAAGCGTGTACGGGTTGTGCGGGCATGGGGTGTGGCGGACGCATGTGGGCGGTGGTATTGAGGCATTCGGTGAAGCTCCCTATGGAGCCACGAAGCGTGAATGGGTGTGGCGAACGCAGGCGGGCGGTTGCACTTGGGCCTTCGGTGGAGCTCCCTCTGGGGCCGCGAAGCGCGTGAAGGGTGTGTGCCGAACTTGGTGTGATGGACGCATGCAGGCGGTGGCACTGGGGCCTTCGGCGGATCTCCCAATGGGGCCACGAAACGTGTGAGGGGTGTGCCGACATGTGTGTGGCGGATGCATGCGGGCGGTGGCATTGGGGCCTTCAGTGGGGCTCTCAATGGGGCCACGCCGAAATTAGTGTGGCGGACGCATGCAGGCGGTGGCATTGGGGCCTTCGATGGAGCTCCCTATGGGGCCGTGATGCGCGTGAGGGGTGTGCCGAAATTGGTGTGGCGGACGCAAGCGGGCGGTGGCATTGTGGCCTTCGGTGGAGCTCCCTATGGGGTCGCGAAGCGTGTGAGGGGTGTGCCGAAATGGGCGTGGCGGACGCATGCGGGCGGTGGCATTGGGGCTTTCGGTGGAGCTCCCTCTGGGGACGGGGATCGTGTGAGGGGTGCGCCGAAATTAGTGTGGCGGACGCAGGCGAGCAGTGGCACTGGGGCCTTCGGTGGAGCTCCCTATGGGTGAGGGGTGTGCCGGAATGGGTGTGGCGGACGCAGGCGGGCGGTGGCACTGGGGCCTTCCGCGGAGCTCCCAATGGAGCCACGAAGCGGCAGGGGTGTGCCGAATGTGTGGACATGCGGAGAGCTGAGATCGAACATGAGGAAGAGGCGGAGGAAGAGGAGGAGGAGGAGGAGGAGCAGGGTGGGAGGAGGAAGGGAGTAAGGAACGCGGGGCGCCGTCTCCTCAAAACGAGGACTCAACACCACAGGATGGTTAGGGAACAAAAACATGCCTTCAGCGTTCTCAGCATCAGTAAGGTCGGGGACACGAGTCCCGAGGGCTGCGGCGCCGTGCTGGTCCACTGCAAGGGCGGCTTCGGCAGGAGCGTGTTCATGGCATGCCTGCTGATCATCTACAGGTACGACGTGCCAGGCCGCGGTCTCCTCGGCTGGGTGCGCATTGCGCGCCCTGGAGCAATCACGACCCCAGAGCAGGAGTCGAAGAAGAAAGCATGCATTCCCTCGACCTGCACCTTCCGCACCCTCCGCGCGGCAAGCGCCGCGCGGAAAGCGCGGAAGGTGCAGGTCGAGGGTACACGTGAACGTGCGGTCTTCGAGAAGAGGAACGATTGCAGAATCGATTGAACCCAAACTTGATTTCCCGTCGAATCTACGAACGAATGCGTAGAATGCGCTTCGGAGCAATATGCGTATTTTTGGTGGGCTCGGCGAACAAATCAATGTCGGGGTAAATCACTTCTGTTGTCGATGCCCTTACTCGAGGTCTGGAATTTTGGCTCAGCGTGTCGCGCCGCCGGATCTGGCCCCCACGGCGCTTCGGCGCGAAACACTCGGGGGTGGACAGAACCCCCACCCTGACACGTCCATTGGTGGATTGTCCGCTTTCGGTTCTCGAGAGAGCGCCGCGGGCGTCGTTTTCCAGGCTTGCGCCCGCCAGGTCTGGGCCCGAGGTCGTTTTCACTGAACCACGTTTTACTAAAGTGAAGTCTGGCCTGTCCCTTAACACTCTACAGGGGGAATGTTCAAAAATAGTTCAGAAATAGTCTGGGGACGATGTTTTTAGTACTTTGGGGCATCTTTTGGGCATAATTCTTGAATGTCCTTATGTTTCGTCCAAAGTCCCCCTGCAGGGGGACACGCCCGACTCCATACTGAAGGGGGTTCTGCCCATCCCCGAAGCACGCCGTCCGCGCTCGCAGTCCCCCGGCGCGCCTGCGTGCCGAGTCCTCCTCTGGCCTTCTCCCGCCCCGCGAGGCGGAGCCACCGGGCTGCCTGCCTGCTCGGGCGCAGCGTGCCGCCGGGGCCGCCGACGCGATACGCGGGGCAGAAGCCCAGAGATCCAACGCATTGAACAAATCGAGACGGAGGTTTCTCGCAAATTTCGGCCCCTTGCGCGAGATGACATACCAGATCCCCTCGGGCAATGAAAAAATCACGACGGGAGGTTTTTCTTAATTTTCGGCCTCCGGGGGCCCTCACCGGGCCTCGGGACCGTCCAAAAACGACTCAGGGTGAAAAACCGGTCCTGGGGAATGGATCGAGGCTTCTGGGGACCGCGTCTTGAAGAAATCACGACGTCAGAGCTCTGGGAGCTCGGCTGCACTTCAGAGTGACCTTTCGCCAGAGCTTCGTGGGCCCTAGAAGCGACAGGGCCGTTCTTGTTACCGGTCCCGCTGGGCAGGTTTCCGTTGCCGGTTCCGACGCCGTGTTGTTTTGTACCAGTGCCGTCGCCGTGGTTTCACCGGTTCCGGCTCGAGCTCCATTCCTGGAGCCGTTTTCGTTGCATTTTTTTTGGCCGCCGTTTTTGTTGCCGCTTCCATTTTCAAGAGACGCTTTCAGGGGCAACGATAGGGGGGGATAGGCATAGGGGGGATGCATGGACCCTCAATCGCCCATTGATCGCCGATAGGGGCCCGATAGTCCCAACCTGCCCAGGAAGGTGTGGATTCACTATCGGAGGCCTATCGCCGATCTATCGACGAAGTATCGCCGATTCCAGGTCGATGCATCTCCCCCTATGCCGGTCCCCCCCCTATCGTTGCCCCTCATTGGGATCTGCTCCGGACCCCCCTCTGGCGTGCTGCGCGCCAGGGAGGGGGGCCCAGCGCGGATTCAAGAAGTCCGCGCGGACTTTCGAGTGTTTATGTTTACGTATGTTGTGTCTTTGTCATCGGAGGAGGCCGCGCTGCGCTCCATCACGGGCCGCGAGGACCTCTGCAGGACTCTGAGATCCGACGTTGCAAACAAAAATGCAAACATTGCGAGAAATCATGACCGTAGCCCTGACCCCGTCCTCCTGCGCCCTGTTTTGAGCCGGATCGATCTGCGACGGGGTCCCGAAAACGGACAGAGACCAGAGACGCCCGGTGTCAGAAAGATACAGCGCCTGGGCCTCTGCAATTTGAGCAGACCTGGTTTCGAGGATTCCGATCGCGGTTCTTCTCGACTCTAGGTTCGACTTCTCTTTGGATCTCCCCCTGCATGCCTCAGCTTGAGCGTGCGAACGTCGATTCCGAGGCCTTCCGACCTGCATGCCGATTCCTGCAGATTCGATGTAGTTCGATGGCCGATGAGATGCTCCGTGCGATTTGGGGTCATCCTGCAGGACCCTGAGTTCCGCAGTTGCAGCAAAATTCTGACGTCACGAAAAGTCACGACCGGAGCCCTGGACTCTATAGACCCAATCTTTCTGCGCCATTTTTCGATCCACGTCATGGTCCCGGGGCCCCAAACTGGGCGAGGCTGCTTTGCGTAAAAAGATCGAGAACGCTGGCGGCGCTTCACTGGCCGCTCCCTTGAAGTCATCTTGGGTGTGGCACGGGCAGATCGAGTCTCGAGTGTTCCTTTGGGCATTTCTGGGGGCGCTTGGGCCCTTACTGGAGGTGTCGGAGGTAGTTATCTCGGGGATGCCTCGTGGCCCTTCGGGTGGGCGCTAGGTCGGGAGGATGCGAAAGAGCATTCAACGCCCAGACGTCCTCAGGCATGCGGCGTCCTTTTTAAGAGCCAGGTCCCTGGAAGTCCGGGCCCCTTCCCCGGGACCAGTTCTTCCCTTGACGGCCCCGAGGCCCGGCGAAGGCTCCGAGGGGCCGAAGACGGCCCAAAACCACCCGCCCCGATTTGTTGTTTTTGGTTGGGTACGACGCATTTTTTTTTTCTAGCGACGCCAGACATGCGAGTTCTTTTTTGGCGGTCCCGGGGCCCGGCGAGGGTCCCCAGGGGCCGAGAATAGCGAAGCCCCCCGAGGCCGGAAACTGCCAAAAACCTCCGTCCGGATTTTTTATGGACGCGATCGTGTCTGGGTATAGATCCGGGCCTGCAGGAGGCATGGGGTCCGAGTAGATGGGGTCGGAAGATCGCGCCGCATCGCCGATACATCGGCGATGCATCGGCGATGCGGCTCGATGTGGGGCCCAATTTTCTCCACGCTGACGTCGCCGATGTACCGCCGATGTCGCCAGTGCATCGGCGATGCGGTGAGATCCTCCGACCTCATCTACTCGGACCAAGAAGAGGAGGAGGAGGAGGAGGAGGAGGAGGAGGAGGAGGAGGAGGAGGAGGAGGAGGAAAAAGAGGAGGAGGAGGAGGAGGAGGAGGAGGAGGAGGAGGAGGAGGAGGAGGGGGCCTCTGTATAGATCTGGGCCTGCAGGAAGTACGGCGTCCCCTGCGAGGGCCCGGGCGGCGCGCCGACCGGGCAGGCCTGCTGCACGGTGAGCTGAGAGGGGCCGCCAGGGGGGCGGCGCCTCGGGGCCGGGCACCTCCTGCGCGACCCAGACCCCCTCGCGCGGTGAAGAAGTCACGACGGGAGGTGTTTCGCTAATTGCGAAGGCCTTACGGCCGGTGCCGCCGACCCTGGAGGGCGACCCATGCGTTCTCGTATGTGGCGGGGGGGGCCTCTTGGGGCTTCCAGGGGGCCTCTTGGGGGTCTCGTGGTGGCCTCTTGGGGGCATATTGGGGCTTCCTGGGAGCCTCTGTCGCCGAGGGCTCGTCGGGCCCCCCGTCTGGGCACCCTGTTGGAGCCGTCTTGGGGGTCTGTTGGGCGCGGCTCGGGCGTGGCTCGGGCGCGGCTCGGGCGCGGTCTGAGCGCGGCTCGGGCGCGGCTCGGGCGCGGTCCGAGCGCGGCTCGGGCGCGGCTCGGGCGCGGCTCGGCGGCGGCTCGGGCGGCTCGGGCGCGGCCCCGAAACAATAAAGAATCCCTACGTGCAGTACTTGCGGGGGGGGCGTCGTATCTGAGTGGCGCCCCCCCCCCGGGACCCCCCCCGGGACCCCCCCGCTACCCCCTCCCGGCGGGGGAGGGATCAAAGGGAAGGGGCTTCCCTTCGACTCAAATACGACGTTGCTGAAGTTCATTTGGGCTGGCGCGCTTGAGCAGGGGCCCCTGCTGGGAAAGAGGACGGGAGTGGCGACGGGCCCACGGAAAGGGAGGCGCAAGGAAGGGGGACGACAGAGACGACGACCAACGAACAACGGGGATGACGTCTCGAACGGAAAAGCCCCTCACACACGCCGACAGGGTCGTCCCCTGCGAGGGCCCGGGCGGCGCGCCGACCGGGCAGGCCTGCTGCACGGTGAGCTGAGAGGGGCCGCCGAGGGGGCGGCGCCTCGAGGCCGCGCGCGTGCGGCGCGCTGGTTCTGCGCGCGGCCGCCGCGGGCCGGGCACCTCCTGCCGGACCCAGACCCCCTCGCGCGGTGAAGAAGTCACGACGGGAGGTGTTTCGCTAATTAGCTTCGGCCTCCGGGGGGCCCTCACATGGGCCTCGGGCACGTCAGAAAACACGACTCCGGATGAAAAGCCGGTCTTGGGGGAGGGGTCCAGACCTTTGGGGGTCGACGTGATGACAAAATCACGACGTCGGGGGTCTGAAAGTTGCGGCAAACCTCCGCCATGATTTTTTCCATGCGCTGGATCTCTGGGGAGTGGACCGGAGGTTGATAGACTTCCCACCCTGACACGTCGATTAAGGAATTGGCCGTTTTCGGTTCGCGAGAGAGCGTCGCGGCCGTCACTTTTGCGGGTCCAGGCCCGTCGGTTTCGGTCCCAGTCCGTTTTCACTAAGGGGAGGTTGACTAAAGGGAGGTTTGTCCACCGCCGAGTGGAGGCGCGAAGCGGGGGGAAGCCTCGGGCCGGGGGGCGCTTCTGGCCACCATCGGTGCCCGTGCTGCAGCCCGCAGGCCCAGCTGCACGGCGAGCCGCGAGGCCGCCGGGCCGCGGCGCCCCGAGGGCGCGCGAGCGCTGCGGCCGGCCCTCGGGCGCGCGGCCGCCCGAGGGCCGGGCACTCTGCCTTTGGCATCGCTCGGAGGTGTGCGTTTCTTGTCTCCTTCGGCGAGGTGACCATCTCTCGGGTATGGCCAGGACCCCGGGCAAGGGGACCCGGTTAGTGGTAGGGCCCCGGAGCCTGTGAATTGGCCAGAATCACCAAACCAGGTTTGCCATAGTTTGTGTTTTTTTGGGTGACGGCAGTTCCGGTTAGTGGAAAGGGGACGTACGGGGGGGCGCCCCCGGTACAGATCACTAAACCAGGTTCCGCTAAACCCAGTTCTACCAACGCCCGAATCTCGAGGAGCATCCCCTGAGATTTCGTCGGGCCGAACGAAAAGGGGGGGTACGAAATCTGCTGCGTGCAGCCAGTTCCAGCCCCACCGAGGGTTCCATGCCTCGACACATGGCCGCCTCCGGCGCCGGGAGGCGCCGGGAAATTCAGCTCCGTGGGCTGATTCTCAGATCCCCCCTTTGCTATCCCCCTCTTTCGCCCAGCCCGATCCTGGCGTCGCGATTTTTTCGAGCTGAGCGTCTTCGCCATTTTTTCGAGCCCCGGGGTCCTCACAGGTCGCTCCGGCTCGAAGATTGACGCAGAAGAATATGGTTTAGGGCTCCAGGCGTGATTGTTTACGATATTTTGTTTCTGCTACATGGGATCTCAGGGTCCTGCATAGTTTGCACAACGGCACGCGCAGAACCGAAAAATGCACGGGAAATGGGCGTCCGAGCGATAGCAAGTGGCAAGTCTGCATCGTCGGGGGGACCTTGCCTGTTATTCTCGGGACGATCGACATGGGGTACGGAAAGAACGGGCACGATGCCCAACAGCAGTCCCTGTTCATTTTGAACAGGATCCGCTGTCCGCGCCGCCACGGACGTTGTTCATTGAAGACCAAAAAACCACCTGCCCAACATCGGCAGCTGTTGGTTTTGGACAACTTTTGCTGTTGGGCATTGTACCCATTTTTCCGTACCCGTCTCGGGCGTCCAAATCTGCAGTTGGCAGTGTTCTCTTGTGCTCGGACCGAGGGCTCGACGCGGACCCGGCGCGCATTCGACATGGCTTCGGCACGGATTCGACACAGATTCGGCACGGGTTCGACGCGGCGCTCGGCACGGACGGCCAGCGCGGTGGGGCAGGCGAGATCCTCGAGAGATGCCACATCAGGTCGGCCCCGAGGCCGTCTGCTGCCCCATCCGCCCGCCCGCGAGGCGGGCACCTGCCGACCCATCGACCGCCCCGCCCCTCGCCTTTGCCGACAAGACAACACGACGAAGGGTCGGTGGCCGAATTCGGCCTCCGGGGGCCCTCGCCAGGCCACGGGACCGTCAGACAACGACTCGGGATAAGAAGCGGGTCCCGGGGAATGATGGGTCGAGACCTCTGGGGGCCGACGCCGTGAACATGAGCACGACGTCGGAGGTCTGTGCCCGAGGCCGCTCGCTACTGCATGCGTCCGTTCGCGAGGCGGGCACCTGTCGACCTAATCCCCCCCCACCTCCCCCGAGATCCAGGCGCTGCCGCCGTTCCACACCAGGCATTAATTATCGCTCCGCTTCGGGCCCTGGGATCGTCACAGATCGATCCAGCTCGAGAGAAGAATGCCACAGAGAGGTGGAGACGAGGGCACCTGCCCCAGGACCACCGCCGTCAAGAAACGGCCTGGGACGAAAAGCCGCTCCCGCGGAAAAAGGCCCGGCACGCGCAGAGGGGTGGAGGGGTGGAGCAGGGGAGAGGGTTTCTCAGAAGCACCCCTGCTTCTTAGGAGGCGCGGGCCTCACCTGTAGATGCAGGGCTGGCGCCTTCTGAGAGGTAGGCTCCTTCCAAGATGCCTGCCCCTCTCCCTCTATGCCCCTCTGTTTGCACCGCCAGGAATCAGGAGGAACAAACGCACACACACACACATATTCACACACACACACACATTCACACACACACGCACCCACCCACGCACGCACGCACGCACGCACGCACGCAAACACACACACACACACGCGCGCGCACACACACGCACACACACACACACACGCACACACACACGCACACAGGCACGCACACAGGCACGCGCACGCGCACGCGCACACGCACGCGCGCACGCACGCGCACACGCACGCGCGCACGCACGCGCGCACGCACATGCACACGCACACGCGCACGCGCACGCGCACGCGCACGCGCACGCGCACGCGCGCATACCACGCGCCACGCACCACGCACACGCACACGCACACGCACACGCACACACACGCACACGCACACAAACACAAGCACACATACACGACACGCAACACACACACACCACACAACACACAACACACAACGCACAACACACAACACACAACACACAACACACACAACACACAACACACAACACACGACACACAACACACAACACACAACACACCACACACACACAACACACACCACACACAACACACATGACCACCACCACCCAATTCGGCACACCCCACACACGCAACACAACGCAACACAACACACAACACACAACACAACAGAACACACAACACACAACACACAACACACAACACACAACACACAATATACAACACACAACACACAACACACAACACACAACACACAACACACACTACACCACACCACACCACTCCACACCGCACCGCACCACACCGCACCACACCACACCACACCACACACACCACACAACACACAACACACAACACACAACACACAACACACAACGCACAAAACACACACACACAACACACACAGAGACACATGTGGACGTTGATTCCGTGGAGAACATAGGAACGCACGGGAAGGGGAGGGCAAGACTGCAGCATGCAGGAAGTATGGAACGTTGTGGGAATCCTGGGATCTGCAGCCCTCCTCCTCCTCCTCCTCCTCCGCCTTTCCTCCTCCTCCTCCTCTTCCTCCTCCTCCTCCTCCTCCTCCTCCTCCTCCTCCTCCCCTTCCGAGAGGTCCAGACCCCCAGAGGCCCCCCGCGCTGTGATGAGGAAGGCGGCGCTGGAGCCCTGGACCCCCGCTCCGCGGGGCCTCCATCTGCCGAGCCGACGCCCGGCCAGTGCCAGGCCTGCCTTGGCGGCACAGCGAGGGCTGGTCGGGGGCCTGCAGGGAGGGGGGCCCAGACGGGATCGCGTCGACCAAAAAAGTCAGGGCGGGAGGTTTTTGGCCGCCTTCGGCCCCTGGGAGCCCTCGCTGGGCCTCGGGGCCGTCACGAAACGACCCGGGATGAGAAACCAGTCCCAGGGAAAGGGTCGGGACATCCAGGGACCCCGTATGGAAATAGTGGGGTTGTGACTATCGGCGCCGAGCCTGGGGGGGAAGTGAGAAGGAGAAGGCCTTCTCAGAAGGCTCGGAAGTGCCCCGGCCTCCCGAGAAGTTTTCCAAGGCCTTCCCCGAAGACCTCGAAGACTTCTCGGAAGGCCGGAGGGTTTCCGAGAAGCCCCCGCCTCCTC